TGTTTAACAAATCGAACTCGCCACAACCAAAAGCAAATCGTGAAGCAAAGTCCCACCTAAAAGAGGAACCAAAGAAGGTAAAAAGCGAAGCAACAGCAAAGCAATGCGGGCTTTTGCGCTGAATGCGGACATCGATGCCTGCGGTACAAATCCTGATACACTTCAAACGAAACAGACCAATGCACTACAAAATTCAGTACACTTTTCACATCCCAAAGAGGGATTGTTGGTCTTGTTTCGCTCTGGCTGCTCTTCTCTCACGCTGCCCTTTTCTAATTTGTGACCTACGCTGCTCTTCTTGAACATCTTCATGGGTAGATGTCAAACACATCAAACCATCTCGTTTCAGCTGACGAAGCAAAATGTCTTTCATGTTCTTCGTGAGACTGTCTGCCAGCTTTTTGAAGGTCGGAACCCACCTAAGAGACATCAACTTCTCTTCAATCATCCTTTTGGACATGAGAAGATCCAGCGCCGTCTGGCGCTCCTGGGCCATGTGGCCTGTGGTGTGGCAGTGGTCGTAAAGTGCACGAGCGTCCGTCACCAGGATGCCGGGCACTAGGATGCCGGGCACTCGAAGGGTGTCCCTCCATGAACCATCTGTCTTCACCTTTCCGAAGCGAAGTGCATCGTACAGCAGGCGATTGTAGAGCTGATGATCAGCCCCTTTTGTAAGCGCACAGCTCTCTGCTGCCATGCTGCGAACAACTCTGGAGATCTTATCCGAATGAAACTCCAGAACGTTGGACATGCGCTTCTCTGATACTGCTTGGGTATCCGTCAACAAGTGAATTTCACCAGACTGGGCGACTCCATCTTTCTTACCCAAAGCAGCATCAAAGTAGGTGACAAAAAGTGGTTCACCATGTAGAGCCCTGTACGTCAACTGAGCTTCGCCATTCCGTGCTGACGTGTGCAGGTCCTGAAGCAAGGTGTTTGCCTCCTTGACATGTTCATGTGTGGCGACACTCACAGCCTGAGCTAAAGAACTTGCACGGAACATGAACTCAGGGAGAACGTGTTGTATGGGCCATCTCATGCGCATGACCAGCTGTCGATAGCTGGTGAGGCTCTTGCCGGTCAGCTTGCCCTTGGGAATCCCCAACATGTCCACAGGGGTAATCTTCAAGACATACTCCTTCATGTCATCAATGATCTCATTTTTCTGTGAATCATATCGGACCTTCATGCCAAGGTAGTCTATTCCTTTCATGTCGAGACTCTCCCAGCCCTTAATGTTGAAGTTTTGGTCGATTCGGCTCTTAAGGGCGGCGAATTGTGGTTTCTGTGGATCTCCTACTAAGAACCCATCATCGACGTGCAAACCACAAAAAGCAAAAACTCCTGAATCGTCTTGCGCCACGAATGTACTCCGGCAAAAGGGGATCTCTTCCATGCCAACTTGTTGCAACAACTCAACTGCACGAAGGTACCATAGCCTTGGTGCTTCAGCCAGGCCATACGCACTCTTCACAACCCTCATGAGTTCGAAGGGTCCTACTGCACTGGTGGTCTTGGTGGCGGGGAGACCTTGTGCTGGTGCCCGGACATACACTTCTCTGTCAGTGTTTTTGCCACTGAGAAATGCAGTGGCTACATCGAGGGTGTAGCAAGTCCACTGCAGAGTCACGGCCAAACTCTTCATCATCCGAATTGCTGTTGGTGTGGTGGTGGGGCTATCTGTCCTGTATTCTCCGATGGCAGGGTCAGTATGCCCCGGTACCACCAACCTACTCTTGGGTTGAAGGAGAGATGAGTCTTTGGATTTATTGACACGAACCATCCGCAGTGGAGTTCTAAAGATCTGACTCGATGGGATTCGCGAAGCTTCAGTGGGGGTGAGTCTCTTGATCACCCCATTGTCGATCCACGCTTCCCATTCCCGAAGATCGGAGTCCTTGAATGCTTCGGCTTCTTCTTCGCTGAACCATTTCGGGTCCAGTTCTTTACCTGAAGCTTTCATCTTTAGCAAAAGAGCTTCCCGATACTTCTGCCATTGGTGCTCTCTTTCTAAAAGCTCTTCCCAGGCATTTGCTTCGTCAGCGTCTTTCAACTCCTTCTGAAAAACATCTTTGCCTACCTGGATGTAGGCACACTGGGGAGGTTCTGGCGTCTTTTCAACTTCATTGACAAAGAGTGTCATTCCGCGCCATGAAGCTGAGCACTTCTTCCTCTTCACTTCATTTTTCTTCTCATCCAAAAGGAGTGCCTGACCAGGCTCTTCCAAGAGCATGAGTGTCACTCTGCGTTTGATTTTCTTCTGTGGATGAGCCTGCAGCTTCTTTCTTGGCGCTCTATGGAGTCTTGCTGCCGACACCGGTAGATCCAAAAGTCTTCGGATCTGCTTCAATTCATTCCTTGGGAGCTGGTTCTTGAGAGAATTCCTTTCTGCCTCTCCTCTCCTTTCTTCAAAATTCTTTGCTTCAATCGTCCAGTGAACTCTTGATCACTTACCATCACTTGCAGCTGCTGGAACATTGTCCTCGGCAACTTCATACTTGGTTCTTCTCCACCTTCTTCTATCTTCTTTCTCTTTAGGCTCATTGGGACATCGTCCAAAAGCCTCTTCCTCCGTTCTTTCTGTTCTTGGATTCTCCTCTCATCCTCCTTGGCATAAGCTTCTTCTTGGGCCGAAATCTCTTCCCAAAATCGCCGACTCTCCTCGTCTTCATCTTCTTCTTCCTTGCCTTCGGGGATTGAAGGTTCATATCCTGCTTCTTCCATCTCTTTCCTCTGCCTCTCCAAGTCTTCAAACCTCTGCTCATATTCCTTTTCTTCTGCAGCGGCTTGCCTTTTCATCTCTTCTTCTTTCCTGGATGGCTTTTCCTTCCTTCTTCTTTTGGAAACCTCTTTCCCAAACTTGCTTTGAACCAATCTTCTCACACCTCGCAAGCCCTTCATCATTTCTACTGCCTGCCTGCGACTTCTTCCATGTCTTTTGCCGAATTTGATGCTGTCTTCTTGAGCCTCCCAGGTCTTATCTTGTTCCACCTCCTTCTCGGGCTGTCGGATCTCGGTGCGGTCCTCATAAGTCTTTTCTTGTCCATCATTGACTTCCAACTCCTCCACACCGGCTCTGGCGTTTTCTTCCAACGTGGCTCCTCTCATGTTGGCGGCTGCCAACAAAAGGCACCTTGATCTCCAGGAGCAAACATATTTTTCATGGCTTTCCTTTACGATGACAACTGCCGGGCCACGCCATTCTCCATGATCATGCCTGTAACGACCTTTTCTGGCCCTTGGCACCCAGAAAACAATCTTTTCTCCTGGAAGGAATTCTTTGATTTGGCCTCCTGGTTTCCTCACAAGGGCATTCTTCAGTTTCTGTTGGGCATCTTGGTGCAACAATGCCCGTTTCGCAATGGATCTCATCTCAGCTTGCCTGGCCACTTCCGTCTCCATGCTTAGGGCTTGCCCCAAAGTGGTGGAGGTAATGGCTTCATCTTCAAGAAGGTCAGGCAGGCAGCTTTGACGGCCAAAAACAAGAGCATTGGCACTGAAGCCTCGCCTTGTGATCACTTGGTTCTTACCCTGTAGGGCGCACATAAGGGTAATCTTCATACCTGCTCGATCTTTGACTTGGTGTTCGTGAATCAATGCGCCCCAGGCTATGCCCAACAAAGCACCGTGCCTCTCGGTATGTCCGAGTTGCCATGCCGCATGAGACCCTGTGAACTTGGTCCCAATGGCATAGTGCTCCAAAATCAAAATGAACTCAGCCTCCCATTCTCCTCCTTGGTCCAAGGAAATCCATGTCGGTGCTCCGAACATTGCCACCCACTTGGTAAGGAATTTTTGGGCCACATGTTCAGGATTTCTGTTTTTGAGGAGCACTCCCTGATGAAAGTTCGTGGCCAAGTCAACCATGCTTAGGGCCACATATCGTTGGCCACCGCAATCATTTGTGAACTTCAGGTCGATCCCAATACTTTCATTGAACACCCATGGACGGGTGTCTCCTCTTTGACTCCTCGGACGTCTTGGGATTGGTCCTGAACCACAAGTATCGCACTGTAGGCGATGAGCGGCATCTTGCAACCATTTCTCGGCTCCTGCTAGCCTCAGCATTCTGGCTAGAACTTCATTCGATGGGTGACCCAGGTGTCGGTGAAGAAGGTCTAACTGTCGGTTTCTTTGGATGATTGGAGCTTCTTCTTTTCCTTCCGCTTCATCTTCACTTTCTTCTTGTTCTACATCCTCAAGGGTCTCAAACCTCTCTTCCGGCACTTCTTCCTTGCTCACGAAACTTTCTTGAACACGCCCTTTCTTCAAATATTCTTCAGCTCCTTTCAACACCTGGGAAGCGAACGCTTTCGTATAGCCTCCAGCAAACTCAGACAAAGCTTTCCAATGTCCGTTGATCTTGACTCCTCCCAAAACAGGTGTATGTAGGTGTTGATGACTGCAGTGCTTCAAAATCTCAGGCGTGCCTCTCAACCTGGTTCTCTTCTTCAAGTACATAGGCTCCTCCTCAGGAAATTCTTCATTTGGTTTCTTCAGGTTGTACTGACACATGTCAGTCGTGGTATCGCCCATGCCTTCAAAAGCTTCTTGTATATCTGGCTCTAACCAGGCTTTTGAGGGTTTTGGATTCTCCCCCAACACAGCTGCTCCCCTGGCTCTCTGAGCTTTCACGGCTTTCTTCACGAAGTGTAGGAGGATTCTTGCTTTCTGTCGTCTTTCGCCCAGGTTCTTCAACTGTTGTGCACTCTTCTTTCCGAACTCTTGGAGTGGAGACCATTCACAACAAGGCCAAGCGATGACCAATAGATCTGGGTCCATGTGCTCCATGTACTTGAGAGCTTCATTCTGATGCTCCATGTTGTGAAGATCCCAATTTGGCAAGGTCACGGGTTCCATCATCTGCCAATTCCCTCTTTGAACAGCGCATAGGGATATCATACATGTCCAGGTGAACACTTCAAGAACCTTCCAAGGACCACTCTTGGAACGTCGGACTCTAGGCATCTGCCTGGTGATCTTCTCCTTGGCTTCATTTCTCCTCTGGACATAGGTGTCTTGTATTCCTCTGGTATTATGGCGCCATTCACTTCTTTGTGCCTTGCTCATATGCTTGACTGGACCGTGCACTTCCTTCTCATCCTGGGCTTCTGTCTCGGACTCATCATCTGTACTTTCTTCTTCTTGGTGTTGAACTCCAAATTCGTGAGAGGTGACGGATGCTTCCTCATCATCGGATCCTTGCACGATCTCCCAATCTTCATCATCACTTTGCTTCTGGGCCTCTTGGACCGGGATGAAGGTCAGATCCTTTTCCAATCGCTCAAGAGCAGTTTCCAATCTATGTCGGTCAATGGCCTCTTCATCGAAGGACTCATAGGCTTCATCACTTGAACCATCGCTGCCTTCTTGATCTTCTTCTTCTTCCTCGCTGGAACCTTCATCCGATGGAAGCTTGTCTGCCTTGAATGCCCAGGTCTGCGGGGATCGTACCAACATCTTCAATGCGTCTTGGATCTCTGGACGGCTCCAAAACTGGGTCACATCTTCTCCGAAGTCTAGTAGGCACACAGCTGGATGCCGAGTTGCAGTCAATGACATCGGTTTCCAAGTACCCTTGATCTGAATCTTCTTGTCTGCAAAGCTCATGATGACATTCCAGCGTGCCATTTCCGACGGCCCCACTAATCCTGGACAATTTCTTGCTCCTCCGACACAGGACATGCGAATCAGTTCTCCACTTCCGTGGATACCCACGGGGTAGATATAGCCACGATGGCTTGTCTCTGGTTCTCCTGAGCCGAACTGAAAGGACTCTTCTGGCTCATGCCAGCTCAAACCCATACGCTTCAGCTGAGCTTGGAACTCTTGGCCAGACTTCTCCGGCGACAGCTGATCGGCATCCACTGTCCATGATGGCCATTCCTGGGGCGGTAGAAAGGAAAACTTCATGACTCTCACTGCTATTGACCACCCATGCTCCATGTCTCTCTGAGAAGTAGATGACATGCTTCAAACCACAATCTCTGCAAGAGGCATAGTGACCATCTCCATTGGCGCTCCATCTCAAGCGATCCTGGGGATGTGGACAGCGAGCTTGATCAACTGTTGGTGTAGGTGCACAAGCTGAAGGACGGATCTTTCCTTTGAAGGTCTGGTTGTCACATAGATCCTTACGAAACTGTGCCAGCATCCGATCCTTGACAGGCTTTGGCAGGTCTTTCTTCCTTGACTCCTCCATATAGCCGCCTTTGATGGGTGATGCTGCTGCCTTCGGTCGTACTGGCATTTGTGAACCTTCGGTCGTACCTTCGGTCGTACTGGATCTCTTTCATCTCCGCTGGACGAACTGTCATAGTGGGCCAGCAGGCGACTTCTTTCTAATCGCTCGAAGGCGTGTTGACTTTCTTCCTTCACCAGCGCCTTCTGGATTTCTTTCTTCTCCTTCCTTGACATCGTTGGCAATGCGGCCAAAACTTCCTCTGGTGATGCCTTGACTCTGGCCCTTTGGTGCAGGCTGTCCATGCCAGCTGCCTCACGCAGTCGGTCCTTGCTGACGTAGTACATCCTTGGTCGATCTTCTGGGCGACTGCTCTCCGAGCTTGGAACTTGTTCTTCATCTTCATCTTCGCGGACCACTGTCCAGCCTCGCTTTCCTTCCGGCATCCGCTCATCAGGATTCATGGCATGCCCACAGTTGGCACAAAACCTGGCTGATGCAACACTAGGCCATCGACACTTTGGGCAAGACGTGGTTGGTGGCACATGAACAGTCTTCTCTTCTTTCGTCTTCGTCCTCTTCTGAGTGGTGCTCACCACATAGGTGAAATGGACTGGATTGCCACCCCCTGCATTGCCGAGGCTAGTTGTCGGCTTCTTGTTGACTTGTCCTTGATGAGGCTTATCTTTGCCAGACTTGACATTTGGGCACTGGGGGTCTCCTTTCCAGTGGCCGCGCTGACCACAAGAAGCACAATGCGAGGCTGCCTTCTTTTGGGAGATGGAGGGAGGTAGATTTCCGTTGGATGGCTGCGACCAACCACGGGCCTTCTTCTTGTCCCCCATTCGTGCCTTCGCTTTCCAGCCGGCTGCATATGCCTCCATCATCATTTCTTCTTCATTTTCATCATCATCTTCAGCTACATCCCACTCACCTTCCTCCTCAATGGTGCCCATATCTTCGGCCTCCTGGCCATCACCTTCTTCAAGGAACACTTCATTCTGCCCTTCTTCCTCTAGGTCTTCTTCTTCTGCATCACCTTCTTCCTCATCTTCTCTTCCGGCAGCATAGACCCTCTTGTACACCTTCTTGTAACCGGTCTTCTTCTTGTCATCATAGGCCCTGGGCTTGAAGGTTCTGGTGGGCTTCAACGGGGTTGGCACCCGGCGTTCATCTTCATGAGTGTTAGCATACCTGTGCCTCAATGCTCGTTCAATGGCTTGTGGTTCATATTGGCCTCCGGCAGAGAAAAACACGTCCAATCTCTCTCGGCGTGAAAGGGAACACCGATTGAGAAGTCGCTGTGCCCATGCCCTGTCTGACAGCTGAGTGTCTGGGTCAACCCTTTGGTATTGTGCTCGAAGTCGTTTCATCTGGCCAATGTAGGCACTCACGGGTTGACCGGGCAATCGACGATATTGACCAAGCTCCTTTTCCGCTCGTTCAAACAATTCCTCCTCCGTCTCTCCAAATGCCTCATCCAGCAAGCGCCAGACAAGGCGAAGACCTCCAGGACGTGTGAACTCGGAGATTGGGGCCTGGTCCAAACAATCCCTTGCATCTCGCTTGGTACTGAGGTACACAAGCATTGCCAGCTCTTGTTCTTCTAAACGGTACAATTCTTGCTGGGCTTCTACTGCTTTCTTCCACTTTGTGTATTTGAACCTTTCTCCAGCAAATTCCTCCACCTTGACCGAGCCTAGACTACTCTTCGGCCTCTCCATTTGTTGGTGCACTCGACGTTTCAACATGCTTCTGATGGCGGATGTGTCCACCGAGGAATCCTCCCCATCTCCCTCTGACGAGGAGATAGGAGGAGTTGAGCCACCCCCACCCCCACCAGAAGGAACGCGCGGTCGACGATCTCCGGCCTCCTCCAAAGTCTTTTCTTCCGGCTTTGGCTTCTGGCTTCGATCTTCTGGCTTTGTCTTTCGGCTTTGATCTTCAGGCTTTCCTTCAGGTCCTGACAGCGGCTGAAGTGGCATACCCATTGATGGTCCCATCGTCGACGGTGGACATGGAAAAGGGCCATGATAACCATAACCAGGAAATGGGGGCCATCCATAATGCCAAAATTCTGGTACATGAGGACCTGAATGAGGAAAACCGCATGGACCACAACCACATGCGTGAACAGGAGAAGGTGGTGCCATGTAGGATGGTGGAAAACCTGGTACCCCTGGGTGTACTGGAACATGCCCGTGATGAACTCCCTGACCCATAGTACTCATCTCTGGTGGTAGTGACAACCCTGGTGGTGTGAAGCGCTCTGGACTTCCCAAGTGCGATGCAGCCATCACTGAACCGCTCATCTGCCCCGACGAGTTCGTTCCCGGCTGAAGCAACGTCTCGGACGATACCATCTGCCAAGAGGTGTCTGTCGGGGGAACTGACATGTGTGGTGCGGTGGTCGGTGCAGTCATCGACAAATTCATCACCGGCGGAATCTGACCTTCCCAACTCCAACCAGAATGCGGCACACTCGCTCCCGGTTCCGAAGGTCTCGAATGGTGTCTCTGCGGCCCGTACCCTCCCGCAACTGGAGGTCCGAGAGGAGGGCCATAGATGGTAGGCGAGCCTTGTGCATGCATTGCCCATGGATCTTGTTGAGTCAGAGGATCGACGGCTTCCTCTTGACTAGCCCGAGCAGGGTCACTCCGATCGGCGGGGGCGTCAGCCATGCTACCTACAGCAGCAGCCTAAAGCAGTCACCCCAAAAATCGAAAAGGAAAACCTCAACCAATGTTCAAACCACCGCGGATTTAACCCCTCGGGCTCCGCTACCAATGTTTAACAAATCGAACTCGCCACAACCAAAAGCAAATCGTGAAGCA